GTCTGATAAGGTGGCGTCGGGGCAACGAGTCCTTCAGATACCCGGGTGCGAGGGCTCCAGGAAGAGGAAACAGGACCCGCAAAGGTCTGAAGCAGGACCCAGTCCGGCATGTTTAAAGGGGCGCAAGGAAGACCCAGGCCGGAGTGCAGGGACTCGGAGGAGTCAGAGGGGGACCCAGGGCAGGGGAGGGCATAGGCTATGCAGGGCCCAGTGGCTGGAAAGGTATTGTGTTTTTTCCAGAATTGTGTTAATTAGCCGTTTATTATTATGTGTCTAAAACGTATTAAAGGAGGGTTTTGGTCCAAAGTGATTTGTTCTCTAGTCATTTAAAGGTGCCTAGGACATTTGTCAACAAATACAATAGTACCTACAAAATAAGTCATTTAATATTTATTGAGCCCCAACTATGTGTCGGGCACGTCTCTAAATCCCCAGGGCAGATCGACATGGTTATTTTTTTTATCTTTTTTTTTTTTTTTTAAATTCTCAGTTCATATTTATTTATAATTGAAATCCATTATATTTATTTCTGTCTTGAGGACATGGCTGGTGCCTGGTCACGGTTTGTTCCGGCACCAGGCTTAGGGTGGCTGGCGGTCCTGCCCACAGACACGGGTAATATAAGAGAAGGAGCGGTTTAAGGGAAAAGAAAATGAGTTTAGTTTTTCACGTGAACTTGAAGTCCTTGTGAGAGAGACATCCAAGCAGACGTTTTTACTCCAGAACTGGAGGAGAAAAATTCAGGGCGAAGACAGATGTTTGCAAGTTGCCAGTTTATAGCTAGGCGGTGTCAAAGCTGCTGTGGACGGTCACCTCGGGAGACGGTGCGGAGCGGGAAGGAGAAGAGGGCCGGAGACCGCTGGCGTGTGCCCGCTTGAAGGTCCCCGTGGAAGAAGAGGGGCCCGGAAAGGACGCCAGAAAGAATGTTGGGGAGGAGGAGGAGAGCCAGGAGGGCGTCACACAGCAACCGAGTGACACATTTACAGAGGTCGCCGCTGAGGCCGAAGTCCTTGCGATGGGTGCGGATGCAGACGGAAAGGCTGCAGCAGCTGGGACGTCTCGGGTCCCTTTGTCCATAAAAAACTGCTCAGCTTTGACAAGGAGAAAAGGTAGACGTTTGAAAAACACAAGAACAAAATAAGAGAAACTCGAACGTGCCTGTAAGTTAAGCAGAGAGAGAGGGCGGAGATGAGAGCAGAGAGCAAGGTTTCTGAGAGGCAGGAGATGAGGTTCAGAACGGCGGAAGGGCTGATGGAAGGGACTTCTTATTCTGCTGACAGAGGAACGACTTGGTTTAGAGAGCGATCGCGTCTGTGTCCTCATCTGAAATGAAGGGAACATTGTGTTTGTGGGTTTCCCAGCTTTTGCGTTTCATCAACGTTGCACCAGAGTGCACGTCAGAATCAGACCTAGAGCTGCCTGCACCGTCTTTACCAGACGTGCTTAGCAGACAGACAGACGGCGTCTTCAATCAGCACGTCGATGGGGCGGCTCGAGGCAGCTTTACGAGTTAGATCCCTCAAGTCGATTAAATAATCTTTTCTTTCCATCGTCCCTATAGACAGTATAGTGATAAATCGCAGCCCAGTGCACGACTGAATTAATACAGCTTCTAGACGAGTGTACTTTGAATTAATGGGTGGTTTCCATTCAGTCATCTCAGTTACTTATTTCTCAGAGCAGAAAGCATTTCTTCTTAGCTTTTGGATGCAGGATATTTTGATAGGGAAGTATATTCTCACACAGATTCTGTATAGAATGATAGAATAATTTTGTATTTCTGCTAGAATTTAACTGACGGGGATGCCGGGTGGTATGAAGTCTAAGTGGCCTAGAAGTATCTTTGGTGGCAAAGAGAGGACATTTTGGTATTAAAGACTTGCCGCACTCAATAGAAAACCCATTAGTGACTATAAAACTGTAGAGCCCAGGGCTGGATGGCAGGTCGTGCCCCCATCACCACTTCGCAAGCCTTCAGCCAGACCGGGCCACTTCGTCCAGCTTCCCACGATGGGCTCCTGCATAAGAATCACTCGGAGAAAACGTTGTGCGGCTACATGAATATTAAAAGCAGGGAGCATGGTCGTTTTCTCTCATTCCATCCTCCTCAAACTTGAAATGCAAGCATACCCGATTCCTGTGTGACCGAGTCCCACCGACTTTTCTCGGAAGTGTACACGTTTAAGTTTTTGCTTTTCAAGGATAAGAAAAGATGGGATTTTTGTTTGTGGGTTTGTTATTTTTTCCTTTGGGAGCTCACCTTTCTCTTTTCACCCAGCTCTGGCTCATACGACTTCCTTAAGCAGAAATGAAGATGTCCACATGAGATCCGTGTCTGGATTCCCAAATTGCACCATATATGTTGTAGAGCCTGGATTTTTAGGTATTTTTAGACGACAGTTTTCCGAAAGCTAAATAGCTTAAACTATTTCACTAAAATGAAACTAGAGGGCTTCTTTAATCTTCATTTTGAGACCTAATTAGCTTGAAATTCAAGCTAACTTTGACATTTTCTCACATGATTCGGGTTAAATATTATCTGCATCTTGAAACAGATTGTGAAAAAATATAAAGATCCATGTAATAGAGGGTCAGGTTAGGAAAGAGACCTACAAGGAAGACACAGCACTAAGGGCCCTTGGCCAGGTGAGACATGAGTCTGAGCTAAAGAAACTAAAATCTCACCTGACACGTGGAGAATGAACACAGCTATGGTTCGTTTCTGTACAGATAAAAGTGAGCGTTTCTTTACACCAGGGCTGAGTTAAGCCGGGATCTTCAGAACCCCGAATTGTTATACAATTTGCTAGAGCGAAGTAAAAGATCCACTTTGGAAACGATTCTAATATGTTCCTTTCTCGGTTTGCGGGTAGGCCTCACGGTCCAGCCTGGAGACCGGTGGAGCCTGGAGGCGGGGCAGACGTACGTCATCACGGTGGGGGTGTTCGATAAAAGCAGCGCGAAGGTCTACATTTCAGATGTGAGTCTCGCATTCGCTCGCCCCTCGTGTGGATGGATGACTGCTTGAGCGGGCCATCTTTTTGGTTGGGGGGTCTTTTTTTTTCCCCCTTTGTTTCCAGATTTTACCTTTGGAAATGCAAGTTGCAACTTTATTATCATTATTAAATCGTTCTGTCCGCGAAGAATGCTCTCAGCCAGAAGTGAAAGTTATAATTCGGTCAGAATTAGAGAAAAGAGCCGAAGGGAGTGCCAGCGATGACACTCTGGAGGTGACCCTCATTCCACAGCTTCACTTCAGAGGCGGTCACCACAGTTTCGTGGTGGCGAGAGTGTAGGCGGGGACATCAGATGTCAAGTGTCCTTGAGCTCACTCTCCAGCAGCCATTCCCCCCACCCCCAACCGTCAGCTTATGGATTGGCACAAATCCCACTAAAATTTACATAAGCTTTGACTCTTTCTGTGATTATTTCCCATTCAAGTATCTTTCAGAAACTAGGACCGCTTTAAAATTACATCTTTCCAATCTAGAATTTCCACGAGGGAGAGCAAAGGTTTCGTTTTTATTTCTTTATCCCCAGAATGCATAGCCCCACTTTTTTTTCTTTTTAATGCTTTGGGATGAGGGTGGCTTTAGGGGATAAAACATGTCTGTTGAGGTTTGCATTGCTGTTGGGCTGCTTTTCAGAATCTCAGGATTAAGTACCAGTTCTCAAGGGAGTACTTCGAAGAGCAGCTGTCGACTGTGAACTGCTCTTACCACGTAGCGAAAGCCCTCAGAGCCGGCGTCACGAGCATAAACGCCTCCCTGATGTCCGTCAGGCCCCAGGTAGGGGTGAGAAGGGTGGTCTTCGAATGCTGGGAACCCCGATGGGGCTTGGCCAGCGTCCTGATCTGCAGGCACACGGGAGCATATCCCACCTTTGTCTTCCACTCAAATAAAAGAGCCCATCGGTAGGACACTCAGCAGTCCACACCGCCGTACATCCCCGACCCGGTCCCTGTGATGGCACGTATCTGCATTTGTGGCCGTTGTGTATTTTTATCATCTGAGGTCCCTTTAAAAAATTGTCTCACGTGCACATTTCCAGGTGTCAGTCAGGCCCACGTAGAATGCCTTCTGTTCTAAACATCCAGAGGGTTAATCCACCAATTTATTTATTTGAAAAAGCAAAATGTTTAATTTTGATGAAGTGTAATTTATTAATTTTTTTCTTTCATGATTCATGTTTTTGTTTCCTCTCCCAGAAATCTTTGCGTAAACAAAGGCCACAAAAATGACTAGAATTTTTATAGTTTTAGCTTTTATGTATGTACGGGTCCATGATGCAGGTGCCCCCGCATCTTTAAATGTCCTCTTTTTTTTCTTCCGAATAGCTTGTAACATCACTTCGCTTTTACGGTTCATGTACTTAACCGATGGCGATATAGCTACATGTCTTTCTTGCTGAAACTATGATTTCTTTCCCTGGGTCGATAGAACTCTTTTATTTCAGGAAATTTTAACTTTCCCTGATTGTGCTACTTATTTCGGGGCTAGCAAAATTCCTTTCATTGTCACCGAACCATAGTAGTTGTGCTTCTTTAGTGAACAGGAACATTTATTTCTTTGTTTCTTTTAGACATAGAAACAGGTTGAGTAATTCATTGGCACACCATTTTGCTGACGTTTTGAACATGAATGTGTATCGTAAGAACAGGACTTATAAAATTTATTTTGCTCTTTTTTTCTGTTCTTATAGAATAAAAATATTCAGCCTATGAAAGTTCCAATCGTGCACCAGCAAGAAGTGAGGATTTATTTCCCCATCAAGCTCACACCCAGCTTCCTGGCATTTCCTCATCATCCCACGGGAATGCTATATCGTTATAAAGTACAGGTATGGTGTCCTAGAATGTGAGAATTCACAGAGAGATGAGTCAGTTTCTCTGATGGCTTCATTTATTGAAATTTGGCTAATGTCAAATTTTGTTTCCTCCTCTTCCTAATAGTAGAACTCCTTTTTTGGTGACAACCAAATAAATCATGCTCTCGGATACTGTCATCCTAACGAGACTTGGTTTGCTTTCCATCTCTCTTCCATTATCCTTTCCTTGTGAATTTTATTAAGTGTCGTCAAGCTCCCCTGTGCCCTTGTCTGACCTTCTGTGCCACTGCCATTTCATAAATGAGCTGCTTCTAGCGTTTCCCTTGCCCGTCGTCCCTGTGGCATCAGTTTCTTCATCCGTCCAGCAATAATTTATTAAATATTTTTGTTATTTCTTAAACTTTGTTTTACCAGATTTTACATCTACGCGTACATCACATTTTCCCTTCTGTAGAGACTGAGTGTAAGGTTGTGCTTCTTCGCAGGTGGAGGGTGGCAGTGGCAACTTCACCTGGACCTCTTCGAATGAGTCAGTAGCCGTGGTAACCACTAAAGGAGTGGTGGCCGCAGGTCGGGTCAGGGGCCGCAGTGCCGTGCTAGCCCGAGACGTACAGAATCCCTTTCGATATGGAGAGACTCAGGTAAACAGCTCTCCAGAGAACCTTCTCATCACCCCTGGGACATGGTTGTCTGAACTTAACTACAGTAACACATTTGAAAATTTTTCCTAGTCCAAGTCGGCTATTTCAAAACGATGCTCAGATTCAGTCTGGGAGTCCACGCTCCTTAAATATCTCTAGACCTGGGCTGACTCCCGCTTCCCTTAGTAGATGGTTTTTTAATGTCTGTGTTTGTTTTCTCGTCTCTGAAATGGGGATGACGATAGTATCACCCCAGAGGGTTATTGTCAGAATTAAATGAGATGATGTTTACCCTAATGCTTGGAATATATTCAATAATTAATCTTATCTGGTTTTGTTATTGTATTTTGTTATTATTATATATATGAGCTTTACAGTAACCTTAATTCTAGTCTCGTCATTTTGTTTGTCAGACTTCTTTCTAAAATATTGAAAACTTTCTTTACTATATTATACAACAATTTTCATATTCTTCTTCCACTATTAACATATGTTACTGTATGTTGTTGTTCCCTGCAGGATTTGTCATTTGCTCTCATTCACTGAACATTTATCGAGTACTCTTGGGCACTTAACATCACACAAAGTATGGTGTTGAAAGAAATATAACATGTCATCCCCACTTTAAAGAATCTAAAGTCTAACGAGGGAGATACATTCACATGCAAAGTTAAATAACATTTTAAAGAAATGATATGTGAGATATTTTAAAGCAGTATGCTATCGAGAGCTACTTGAATTACACAATAAAAGTACTATTAGTTTCTAAAAGAAAGCCCCTTGCAGATGTGACTAGTCGGAGACTCTCAAGAATAGGCGGGAACTTGAACAAGACAGAACAATGGAGCCAGACTGAGGCCTGAGGGTCAGGCTCAACCCACCTTTTCATAGATACAGTTCTGTCAGAACAGAGCCACTTTCGTGCGTTTCTGTTTTGTCTATAGCTGCTTTCAAGCCACAGCTACAGAGTTGGGTAGTTGCCACAGAGACTGTGTGGCCTCTGAAAGCCTAAAATATTTGTTATCTAGCCCTTTACAGAAAATGTTTGCTGACCCTGCTGTAGACAGTGGGGAGCCAACACGGGTTTTTAATAAGGCCAATAATATGGTCAAGCCTGTGTTTAGAAAGACATCTAATTATTTTTTACAGTCAGACAAAAACAACTATATTTAGAAAAAAGGAACAAAAGATAGTTGCTGGTGCTGTACTGGTGGACGAGAGTGGACGGAAGGGAGAGAGCGAAGGCACAGTGTCCAGTTACGCCTGACCTAAGGCAGTGGGATTGAGTAGAGGAGAGGGGACAAATCGAGGTCGTTTAGAGGTAGCCTTAGCCAGATTCAGTGACCAAGGGGTGAGGGAAAGTGCAAGATTTAAAGACAGGTTTCTAGCTTTGTAGCTGAATGGATAGAAAACAGAAGAAAAAGAGGAAGAGGACAAATTCAGCTTTGGCTGTATTTCCTGTGATTCACCCCTGGAGGATCCAAGTGGATGTTTACATCTGGAAATAGGGGTGTGAAATGCAACTAAAAGGCTAAGTTAGGCTAGAGGTGAATATTTGGAGTTATCAGCATGTGGGTGGTCATTGAAGTTTTGGACCTGGATAAGATTTCCCAGGAAAAGCACATAGGGTCAGAAGAGACAATGGACCCTGTGTAGTAGGTGTCACTTTAAGAGATGTAGGCAGAGTAAGAGGAACTAGCAGAAGAAATGTGGAAAGTGACACATACACACACACACACACCACCACCACCACCACCACCACCACCCCCACACCACACCACACCACACCACACCACACAACACCAAACCAAAAAACACCACAAC